GCGCGTGAGAGACCCCGCGACCCTGCGCGTGAGTGACGCGCCAGCCCCAGGGGTCAGTGGCCTGCCTGGGCCCCCGGCCGCTCAGGGGCACGATCGACGGGGGCCCCGGCTCTGACTCTCTGTTTGCACGTGCGTGCGTGGACGTGTGTGTGCGTGTGCGCGCGCATGCGTGTGTCGTGTGCCTCTCGTTCCGCAGGAGCGGGCAGCAGCGCTCACCACAAGTGCAACAGTGCCAAACACCGGATCATCTCGCCGAAGGTAGAGCCGCGGACAGGGGGGTACGGGAGCCACTCGGAGGTGCAGCACAATGACGTGTCCGAGGGCAAGCAGGAGCACAGCCACAGCAAGGGCCCGAGCCGCGAGAAGAGGAACGGCAAGGTGGCCAAGCCCGTGCTGCTGCACCAAAACAGCACGGAGGTCTCGTCCACCAACCAGGTGGAGGTCCCCGACACCACCCAGAGCTCCCCCGTGTCCATCAGCAGTGGGCTCAACAGCGACCCGGACATGGTGGACAGCCCTGCGGTCACGGGCGTGTCCAGCATGGCCGTGGCCTCCGTGATGGGGAGCTTGTCCCAGAGCGCCACGGTGTTCATGTCCGAGGTCACCAACGAGGCCGTGTACACCATGTCCCCCACCACCGGCCCCAACCACCACCTCCTCTCGCCCGACGCCTCTCAGGGCCTCGTCCTGGCCGTGAGCTCCGACGGCCACAAGTTCGCCTTCCCCACCACGGGCGGCTCGGAAAGCCTGTCGATGCTGCCCACCAACGTGTCCGAAGAGCTGGTCCTCTCCACCACCCTCGACGGTGGCCGGAAGATCCCAGAAACCACCATGAACTTCGACCCTGACTGCTTCCTCAATAACCCAAAGCAGGGCCAGACGTACGGGGGCGGAGGCCTGAAAGCGGAGATGGTCAGCACCAACGTGCGGCACTCGCCACCAGTGGAGAGGGGCTTCAGCTTCACCACCGTCCTCGCCAAGGAGATTAAGACCGAGGACACGTCCTTCGAGCAGCAGATGGCCAAAGAAGCGTACTCCTCCTCGGCGGCAGCCGCGGCCTCCAGCTCCCTCACCCTGAGCGCCGGCTCCAGCCTCCTGCCGTCGGGCGGCGGCCTGAGTCCCAGCACCACCCTGGAGCAGATGGATTTCAGTGCAATAGACTCCAACAAGGACTACGCGTCCGGCTTCAGCCAGACGGGCCGCAGCCCCCACGTCCACCAGACCCCTTCCCCGAGCTTCTTCCTGCAGGACGCCAGCAAGCCCCTCCCCATCGAGCAGAACGCCCACAGCAGCCTGAGCGAGTCCGGGGGCACTTTTGTGATGCCCACGGTGAAAACGGAGGCCTCGTCACAAACCAGCTCCTGCAGCGGCCACGTGGAGACACGGATAGAGTCTGCTTCCTCCCTCCACCTCATGCAGTTCCAGGCCAACTTCCAGGCCATGGCTGCGGAAGGGGAGGTCACCATGGAGACCTCGCAGGTGGCCGAAGGGGGCGAGGGCCTCATCAAGTCCGGGGAGCTGCAGGCCTGTAGCTCCGAACACTACCTGCAGCCCGAGACCACCGGGGTGATCCGCAGCGCCGGCGGGGTCCCCATGCTCCCGGGCGGCGTGGTGCAGGGACTCTACCCGGTGGCGCAGCCGGGCCTCGCCAACGCCTCCAGCATGGAGCTCAGCCTGGACCACTTTGACATCTCCTTCAGCGGCCAGTTCTCCGACCTGATCAACGACTTCATCTCCGTGGAGGGGGGCGGCGGCACCATCTATGGGCACCAGCTGGTGTCGGGGGACGGCGCGGCGCTCTCCCAGTCGGAAGACGGGGCCCGCGCCCCCTTCGCCCAGGCGGAGATGTGCATGCCCTGCTGTAGCCCCCAGCAGGGGAGCCTGCAGCTGACCAGTGCCGAGGGCGGGGCTGGCACCATGGCCTACATGCACGTGGCTGAGGTGGTCTCCACCACCCCAGCGCAGGGCACCCTGGGGATGCTGCAGCACAGCGGACGGGTGTTCATGGTGACCGACTACTCCCCGGAGTGGTCTTACCCAGAGGTAAGCTGGGGCCGCCCGTGGCCTCCCCCACCCGCCCACCGGCGCCCTCGCTCGCTCGGCTCAGGGAGGCTCATTTGCATGCGGCTGCCCTTTGGAGGAAGCTGTGGACCATACAAAGCTGTCCCCTTCCTCTGTCCCCGTGGCCTTTGTCCAGCACCGGCTCTCAGACTCCACTTGAAGGCCAAGGGTCTCCTGGGGGCCAGGTGGCCCTCCCGCTCCCGCCAGAATAAGAGTCTGCTGTGAACCTGGCTTGCGGATTAGGATTCCACGGACAGTTTTGCTTTGCTTTATGCCTGTTTTGAAAAAACGTCCTAGGGCTGCGAAAACAAAACAAAGCAAATTCAGAAAGCACCACCATAGATCATCCATGTCCATTACTCCCGATTTGCTTCGCTAAACAAAATAAAACATAAACAAATCCCCATCAAATTGAGGAGAAGGGTATAGTCCCGTAAAGCCAGCCGTGAAACGTTCTCGGGTAAATCGGGCCTCTACGACATCAAAGGCATGTTACGTGACCCGGGATCTCCCACCACCTGTGGCCTCCCCCTCCCAGC